TAACAACTTCAGTACCCAGCTAATATCTGAGTCACTGTGATGCTGCTTTAGCAAAAAGCGCAATGTTGGCAGCCCCTGTGATGGGCTGCTAAGGCTTCCAGCAGTTGTGCTGTTCTCAAACTGCATCTGAAGCGCAACAGCTCGTTTCAAAAGTTTCAGCTTTCCTTAAACAGGTGTATTTCATTTCCTGCACGGTGGTAGATGATGATGATGTATAAATATATATAATATGTATGTTCTATATGTACAAAATGATGACCAGAAAGTATGTGCATTCACACATATTAGGGCTTTTTGCACCATAAGCATGCTTTGGCAATGTAATGTGGCACTTTATGGGGTGGGGTTGTACACAATTACAAATGGTTTTTTACATGAAATATAAACAGAAATAATGTGGGTGGGTTTTTTTTAATTAAGATGACATATAAATGTCATGTCAGTTAAAGGGAATGCACACGTTTCTGGTTATACCGAAGCTGTAACTACCAAAAAAAAAAAAAAAGACATTACTGCAACAGTTCAGAAAGTGCAAGTGAAGCTATGTAGTTTTATAGCTGTCTTTACAGAAAAAGCTGCTAGGGAAGGCTGGGAAATGCTGTTTGCTCTGCCACGCTTTCCTTCCTCAAGTGAGAGTGAAGTCCAAGGACTTTTCCACATCCTTACTGATGGTTAGTGCTGGAGAATCATAGAAAATGTCAAGTAGGAAGGGACCCATAATAATCAAGAAATCATGCAGACTGACTCCAAAAAGTGCATGCTGTGCTCCGGTGGTACGAGGTGTGTTTTCTGCTGACTATAAAAACAAAAGAGAAGAAAACCCTCCTCCTTGCAGCTGCAGGCCAATATCCCTTTCTGTTTTCAGAACATACCTGTATTTTGGTCAATTACTACTGCTCCCATCCTTTCAAGGCTCCCTCCTTAGCCTGCTTTTGCCTAGCAGCATGTGTGCAGGTTCCTGGAAGCAGCCAAGGAGGCTGTTGCAAGAAACTCCTGTACCAGACCCCCTCAGACCAAACAAAGGCACAGGGGAGAAACTTGTGATTTATCAAGGCAGGTAATTCTTCTGCTATAACTGAGTATCCTTGTGTAGTAAATGGCTTATGTATTTTCCTTGATGAGCAAGAACTATGTGTTCCTGGAGTCATTCCCCACACAAAATATTTTAGGCCAGTTCATCTCCCTGTAGTGAGGTTTGACTTAAATTTTCAAGTACTTCATGCTAGAACATGATCTTGATCTGTAAGGTCCCTTCCAACCCAAACGATTCTATGAACAGGCAGGCCTACGCAGCATGCAGAGCTGTGATTTTATATCTTCTTCTGCCTTTTGCCAGCGAAGAGCTTGGTGCCCAGCAAAGGTGACTGCATCCACTGCCCTGGCCCTGAGCAGCCCGGCAGCACAGGGGGATAACTGTACCAGCCATGCATATCCGGTGCTTGCAAGCTGCCTTAGAGGTGAAGAGCGGGGAGACGAAACCCACCTCTTGGTAGCAGTGTCCAGTGGATGCCACAACAGTCCGGAACCATTCATATTACTCAAGGTTGAGAAAAGCAAAATGTTCCTGTCGGAGTGCCATGTAAGCAGTAGGTGACAAGACTGTAAGGGAAACTAGAAGAAAAAAAAATCCCAAATAAGCCAGTTGTCAAAAATGTACCTGTCATGTTTCACTGATCCTCACCACGATGAAGACCCTCCTTCCCCAGTACCCTCTAGCCCTTCCTGTTGGGAAATGGCTTCAGCAAATACTTTGCCCTTAGTTGAACGTTAACTCACAGAACCAGTTTCCCTGATTAACCTTCTGATTACGCCCTGTGATTAACTCTGGCTAATGGAGGGGCTGGCAGCCCTAGCTTTTATAGCCCGGGGATTTTTTTTGCACCCTGTTCTGTGCATCAGGGAAGAGGGTAACATTTGGCTAAGCTTTCTCAAGATAGAAAAAGGGTTTTGGATGTAAATGCCTTGTCTTTGACTGAATACAAGTAACTAACACAAGGTGCTTGGTGTCCATGTGATTTTGTTGTTCAGGCCCGGCTCCTGGGGTCTTGCCAACGAGGAAAAGTCCGTGGGGAACAAATGACGAGGCCATTTCTGCTGGAGATGCCACCGCTGTGTGTTTGCATAATAAATAAAATTCCACCTGACTTCCATCGGTGAAAGCTGGGGGTGATGCAAACCATGAAAAGTCCCCTGGAGATAAGGGCAGGCTCTGGGAAGCACCCTAACTAGCACATGGAATGGGCTGCTAAACACAGCACTGGAAGCTGCAGTCGGGAATATATTTTCTGCAGTGCTAACCAATTAGCGGGAGTGACATTGGGTTGGTTTAGAGTTTCTGTGAATTTCCATACTGCATGCTGTGCTGGCCGTGGAAGCTAACTGCTCTGTTCAACCAGCAGTCGAACGCTGTTGACTTACACTCGGTATGGACCATCTCATACGGTAATGGCTAGTTACAGAATGGCATTTCTGGATGGAACCATAAATTCCACCCAGAAATGAGGCAGTAACTGCGCAGCGCATTTCAGCAACAAACTACTACTGCCCATGGCAGGGGGGTTGGAACTAGATGGTCTTCAAGGTCCCTTCCAACCCAAACCATTCTGTGGTTCTATGATTCTACTTTCAGCAAGTCTCTCACAGGCAAAATGTGTTTTAGACTAAAGGAGAATCAAAGCCGCTCTGGTTTTAGCTCTTAGCAATCACAAGAACCTCTTGGGGAGTCTTACATTCTTTTCATGTATGAGAACAGCAGATCATGTTAATCAAGGAGAAAACCCCCAACCTTTCATTGCAGACTGTTTGGAGTTATGCCAGAAGCATCTGAGGATGGGAGAGTGATGATGCTCGGTGCTTTGATGCGCGCTGACAGGCACTGTACCGGGGGAAAAGGCACAGCATCACTTTATGAATGACAATGTTTGAATTGATAAATTACAGTACTGCTTCATATAGTATATTACTAGAGCATACTTCAGTATAGTAATTCAAACACTGATACCTTCAAATGGACATCCACAATGGCTCCAGCTGTGTTGTGGTTGGCGAAGGCAAACACATTTAAGTATTTAAGTCAAAGCCAGCAAGAACTTGGCGACTGTGACACGCGGTCCAACTTCCCATTGGCAGAGTAGGACCTGCAGCCCTGAGCTAAGCTGCTGGCGAGAGCACGGCGGGATGGGAGCAGTTCCCTTGGCAGAAGCCAGGCCGCAGGGGAAGCCACGTGTGACCAACGAAGGGCTGCACAGGGAGGCTGGTGGTGAGGGCGGCTCTCTTGAACTTGGTACCTTTCTTTATAACCCAGCCATTAACAATATCTTACCAGTTAAAGTTGGTAACGGAGACGCTTGATAACCACCTTACACACAAAGGGGTATCAGAGTCCATGAGAACTTCCTCAATAGGCAGCTTAGGGTATTTTGCTGCTCGAGATTACACCAAAAGGCGTAAAACACCTTCAGATACAAACTTAAAAATTTGAAGATGTTTAGTTCTAGGAACGTTACACATAATTTAAAAGAAACTAACTGTCCATCTCTGCACCTCCACCAGCCCCAAGAGACTAGGAAGCAGACAAGATTTGCTAACTTGCATGCGCCAGGATTAATTCCGTATGGTAACACTAATTTTTGATGTTGTAGCTGTGACAAGCTGTTTTGGAACCAAGGGCATTTTCAGTGCAGGTGTGGCAAGGACAAACTCAGAGGACTGCCTGGCATTTTGCCTGTAGAGTGCTTTCATCAGGTAAAGGTCTTCATTTAGGTGTCAGAGTCCCTTTACTCATGTAACGAAAAAGACTACAGTGTCTAGAAAAAAAAAAATCAAGAGCAATTTAATTCCCTCTTCCCTTGGGAATGGGAAAGGCACCTTCTCTGCTGCAGTGACATAAATCTTACCTGAGATCATTCCTGGAGTTACGTGCCTCACGATGTGCATGGCATCCCACTCCTCACAGCACCTTCTCAAGATGGGAACTTACCTCCCAAGCCCTGTTCAAATGAACGTGCTGTGTTAATTTACGCAGTGGGGTAAGGAATCTACCGCTTCGTGCTCAGGGCCTGCAAGCAGGACATTCACGTGACAGGCACCTCTAAAGGGAATCATAAAGCACATACAGGAATTTTATGTACCTCGGGAGATGCTGGAGGCTGACTGGAAGCTGTAGGTCCTTGGTCTAGCAGACCAAGAGGTCCTCTAGAAAACCTCCAGCAGAGAACCTTGGTCTAGACCTATAATAAATTTTAGCAGAATGAGCCCCCAAATAAGCATTTTCTTAAACTTTCAGTCTCCAAAGTTAGAACAGAAAAACCTGAATTCAGAAGAACTGAGTTACTCTGTAAGAGGAGCTACTGCAACACCAGTTCCCACTAGCATTAGGGTTCAGCACTGAGACTACCACACAAGTACAGCCTGCAGAATCCACATTTTGACAGAGGTACCTGAAGGGCATTGGCTTGGTATCATAAACTTCATCTTTCCCCATCCCTCCCAAGAAGAAAAGGAACTCTGAAGCTCCATAATGAAGTGGGTCCTTCATTATCCTTCACTCACTAGCACATCATCCTGATAATTCATTGGGTGAGAGAGAGAAATCGAGACAGCAGTTGGTGGGGGGAAATACTCCACAACCGTTTTGTTTTAAAAATGAATTGCATTTAATATTTGAATGCCTAAGGCTAGCACTGCTAGCAAATTGCATGATGAATTCTAGTGGAATAAAACATGATTTAAGTACAAAAGCTGGAGGAGAAAATGCTCAGGCTTTTCAGAGGCAATGAGGTATTTTAACTACAGAAAGTCTGAATGTCCAAAAAGGTCTGGAGGTCTTCCCCTGTCCACTGTCACCTTTGCTGAATGTTGGGCATTCAGTAGTTCTTTTTCTCTCTGTGTTTCACAAAAGGTCAAGGAAAAGTGCATAACCATCTTCAAAGATGAAGGACTTCTAACATCTGCCTTGCCATATTTTTAGACTAGTGGCTTTAAAATGTTTGACCGCTTTTTCAAGCCATTCTGACATATGGTGGAGGTTTGGATGCATCTTCCTCTGCATCTAAGTCCTGGGCTGGAAACCGATCTGGGAAGTTAAAAATTCTGCCCCCAGGACCTGGGTGGGAAAGGAAAAAGGAATCCATTAAACCTGGTGTAGACACTTGTACAACATCCTGAGTTCCTTTTCGCTCAGAGTATTTTGGTTATCAGGATTTTGGCCTGGGGTGTAAAGCTTATGCAGGATCTTCCCCCCACGTCCCTGGTGAATATCCAGATACACGGAGGGAAAGAATTACTCACTTTGTACAGCGCAAACCATCTCCACAGCCTGATTTTGGTCCTCACTTGGTTGCAACCATTCCTACAAATGAAACGATGCCATCAAAACACTCATCTGTGAGTATTTTCCGGAAGATAAACATGAACTCATTTTAAAAGTCTGCGTAATCCACTCCTCCTAACAAGTTTTTGTTTGAAAGTTTAAAGCAGCCTCACATTACATACTTGGTGTCTTCAGTCAAGAACACCTGCCTTGTCCCCTGTACCCATTAATTCCTTAACAAATGAGATGGTTGGATGTATGTATGTGCTTTAATACAGCATCAGAATTACTCTAGTAGGGAGGCGGCTGGTATTTGCTGAGCTCACTTGCAGAAACAGGCAACGTGCGCCCCATCACTTGAGGTAGAGTCCTTCTAAATTAGCAGTAAAATGCAGTGTGTCGTTGTCCCCCATGCTTCACATGCAGTACAGGGAATGCTTTTATTATTGAAGCACCTTCCAGTACCTGAAGGGGCTACAAAGAAGCTGGGGGGGACTTTTTACAAGGGCCTGTAGTGACAGGACAAGGGGTAATGGGTTTAAATTGAAAGTGGGGAGGTTTAGATTAGACATCAGGAAGAAATTCTTCCCGGAGAGGGTGGCGAGGCACTGGAACAGGTTGCCCAGAGAAGCCGTGGATGCCCCATCCCTGGAAGTGTTCAAGGCCTGACTGGATGAGGCTTTGAGCAACCTGGTCTAGTGGAAGGTGTCCCTGCCCATGGCAGGGGGGTTGGAACTAGATGATCTTTAAGGTCCCTTCCAACCCAAACCATTCTATGATTCTATGATTTGTAGGCATCTTGGTGTGTTAAGTACCAGTAATTCTTTGAAATGCTGCAGCAGGAGCAAACACTGGTTTAAGGGTGAGAGAAGGAGGAGCCGTTTTTGAGTAGAGCAGGAAGTCATCGGAAATGGGATCACAGTAGCTTCAGCATTAATGGTTTGGAAAATGAAGATAACTTAGGGTCTTATACATGACTGTATATAAGAGGGAGGTAGTAAAAGGAAAAATACAAAAAGTATAAAACCCTTCTAACATCCACTTCATTTCTTCAAATTAGCCCTGGGGTGACTGGGGTACAGCTGAGGTTAGGTTTAGAGAAGAAGGCCACATCTTCTCCTCAGTTTCTTCCCCTCCCACCCCCACTCAGTACAAGCAAACGGGCGCCCAGGGCTCCTCACTCACCATCCCAGTTACGCTGTCGTAGCATGAGCAGCGAGGAAGACTCCGGCATCCCAAGTAAGCCATTGCCAGCACAGCAAAAGCACTGCAGATAGATGCAGCCAGCATGGCTACGTTAGCACCCTTGACGACTTTGTTAAGTATGAACTTCTGCAAGCAGAAAAGGAAATGTTAAAGACACATTGAAAAACTGTTTTTCTCCACCAAATAATATTCTAACGACCGCAAGAATGCCGCGACTGCACCACAGGCGATTGATTCAGAGTTATTTAAGGCTTTTCTTCCTGTGCTCTGAAGAGCAAGCCAGGTGTGAACTGCAAATCGGGAAAGAGCAAGCAGCAAAATGAGGCTCCTGATTAAACAGAAGACACTACGCCATGGCACCAGGTTTTCTCAAATCTACCTGGAATGTTTTCATTCCCACTGGGAGCTGTCGTTTGTACCAGATGGGAGGTATTCCTTCTTTTCAGCTTTACTGTGGGGCACACAATTGAAAGAATACCCAGTTTTAACCAGCTGACCTGCAACTGCTGTAACTTTATCACCTGAGGTGCATGCCGGGAAGGCTCTGAGCCTAGCAATTGCTGTCTCAGGCCAGGCCAGGGATAGAACCAGCAACTACCCCTTCTTGTGGGCAGCCCCAGGATTTTTCCTGGACCAACCCAAACCCTTTCGCACTGGGCAGCGGCAGCAGTCCGTCACCCAACCGTAGCGTGTTCAGGCGCACACAACTGTGCAGGCCTCCAGGGAGGAGCTGTTGCTCTCCGGCAGCTGCTTCTCAGAGGGGCATCCAGGCAAGCTGGGTGTTAGTTCCCCTAGCCACCGGTACTAGCCACGCTGCAGCAGCAGCGAAAGGCAGGAACCAGCTACGAAATATCTATCTAGCCCCGTGTGGGTTTTGTGGTTTTCAGTACCTAACTTGATACTTAACTGTAGACTTACACAATTTTTTTTTTTTTAACTGATGCCCTGCCGCAGGCAACACTTCAAACTCAAATTTAGGTAACCTGGAAGACTGGTTCTATTTCCGAGTCATGCCTAGTAATGTTTGCAGATGAAGACAGTCATGCTCCCCGGTAAACAAGCATGCTATCGATACTTACTGTATGGATAACATGGACTGGGGCAGAACTCAGCTCCTCCTCTTCACCGTAGTTCAGTGTGAATGAGCTATAAACTATTACAACGAGGATGGCAATACAGGAGATTATGGAAGCAACTATCAGCACGTTCACCTAGACAGAGAAATTAACAGAGGAAAAGAGGGGTAGCAGGAATTCAAACAGTCCTCTGACAGAGTAATGCACTCATACAAAAAAAACGTACCAAGCAGCATTGTAGGTACGAGCCTGTGACGTCCCGTAACACTAACTAGTACCCAATAGCAACAATCACTTGGAAGCCAAACACAGCACAGTTAAGGTTTCTACGATACTGGATTTCTAAGCTACTGTTGACTCCCAAATCTTAACCACGGGTGCTAGCTGGACCCAAAGACTTTGCTCTTGGAGATCTCTTAGAAACAATATCCCCCCTTGGAGCTTACATGGCAGGAGGGACCTGCCTAGGAAATGCAAGTCAATTAACTTGTTTCCTGTTACAGTATACACAATTCTTAGTAACGGGAAGAAACACCAAAAGAAATGTATCCAAAAGCACATGTTTTTACAGAGTTTTGCTTGATTAGAGCCAGTGCTTGTCTGCTACAACAGAAAGCAAGGTACCACTGCATCCTCCTTTCGCTTAGGAACGTAGCAGCCTTTATGAAGATAACTCAAGGAAATAAGCTCTCGATCCTGCAGCAGGACCAGCCAGCTCATTCCCTACCAACACCGTTTTCAATTGCCCCCACCCTGTAGACACAAAAATCCCTCCCAGGCTTACAAGAACTGGATTCTTCCTCTGAGAGGAAAACAAAGCCAGGATGCCGGGGACTCCCATCACCTGCAGAGCACAAAAGGAATCGGTAACTGGGAGACAAGTATCGGATTCGGAAGATAAACTGCTACAGAGGAGATGAAAAGCCCTTAGTTTTCAAGGCTTGTCCCAGAGTAACCGTTAGGTCAGAAATGGAAGAACTGCTGATTTCTTCTGTTTTCCTCTGCAGCGTCTCCTGGGGTAGGATACTGCATGGAATGCATCTTGCCCAGTCTCTGCCCCCATGGCAGCAAACCTCTAACGGGCTTTATAGCTCTGGCCAAATAAAACTGAACAAATAAGTCTGATTACAGTGCTAGAAACGTGCACTGCTTTCCCAAGCCCTCCTGCATCTCGTCGGTGGAAGAACGGTGTTACTGAAAGGAGTCGGACAGGCCCTGGATGGAAGACAGTGCGTCAGCACGACCCCCTCGCGGCTCGGCTCCCCGGGGTACCAACCGTAACGTCGGGGTACCGATGGCTGGAGAGTGGGGGCGACCCCTGCCCGCCCCTCGCTGCGGCACACGGAATTGGTGACACCGCGCCGCGGGGCATCCAGACGTTCATCTCCTGGATGTGAGGATGCAGTGTTCCCTTCCTCATCTTGGGTGGCTGGTCTGTGGACACCGTGCTTCTGGAAAACCCCCTGTTGGCACTGTGCCCCGCTTGCTGTGTTACCCCGTAGAAATGTACTTTATTCAGCTTCTTCAGGGGAAGCCTGCCTGCGCCCTCCAGCCTGTGCCACGGCAAGGGAGC